ACAGGTAGTAAAAAAAGTTGAATATCACCACTCTTGGAAGTCAAGTCTATTAACAATAACAGTTATAAACCGATAATTATTTTGGAGGGGCTGCTGGCTACCCTTAAAACTTTGGAGGGCATAATATTATCCTGAGAGGCCTCTTAATGTATGCCCCAGTTTACTTTTGAAAAACCATACTTAATATTTGTATATGGGGGGAGGTGTATATACAAATCCCCTATATTTTTAACTCCCAACTTATGTTAGTACTAGATGAGGTTTGATGTGATTGTGAGTCTGTAGGAGTCAAGAAATATTCTGCTGTTTGCAAAATGATTCATCTTCACTTCTGATCACATGCGCCTGGCAATTAACAGGAAATGTCAAGGATACGTAAGAAGCAATGGAAATTTGTTTGAAGGTTTTGTCGGGTTGATAATATTCCATATCACGCTTTTCCTCCACGGAGCTCAGCGTTTGATTCCTCCTCCCCTTATTTTTTATGAAATCTGAAATGTTATCGTTTCTGCACTATTATCAAAGTATTAAATTTGCTTTGTTATGTATACTGTTCCATTACCTTGAGTATTTCTGTTTTTTTTTCTTTTCATTTGTGACTTCTAAATATGCTTAGTTCTTTTTTTTTTATTGCAAAAGTTTTACAATTACATTTTCACCCCATTTTTCCCCCCAACCCACCCCAAACTCCCCAACCTAACCCTCCCAAACCCCCCTAACCCTCCCAAACCCCCGCAACCCTCCCCCCTGACTTCCACAGAATATAATCCCATCAAAATCCCCTTTTTATAAAACCTGAACCCCTCAAACCCCCATATAATTTTTCATCTTCACAAAAATCCAAATATTTCTATTTTTATATAATACTTTCAATGAAAAGCTATTTGATACTTATCGTTTCTGCACTATTATCAAAGTATTAAATTTGCTTTGTTATGTATACTGTTTCTGTTTTTTTTTTCTTTTTATTTGTGACTTCTAAATATGCTTAGTTCTGATGGGGATTTTTGGCAGACTGAAAAGCAGAGCCAACGACGGTGATCAGTGCAGGTAGTCTTCGACTTACGACCACAATTGAGTCCAAAATTTCCATCGTTAAGAGAGACATTTGTTAAGTGAGTTTTGCCCCATTTTATGACCTTTCTTGCCCTGGTTGTTAAGTGAGTCATCATAATTGTTAAGTTAGCGACATGGTTGTTAAGTGAATCTGGTTTCCCCATGGACTTTGCTTGTCAGAAGGTCGCAAAAGGGAATCTTGAGACACAGCAACGGTCATAAATATGAACCAATTGCCAAGCATCTTAATTTTGATCACATGATCATGGGGCTGCTTCAAAGGTTGTAACTGTGAAAAACAGTCATAAGTCACTTTTTCCAACTTTGAATGGTCACTAAACGAACTGTTGTAAGTCGAGGACTACCTGTAATGAAAAGCTGATGAGTAAACCAGCTCTTCAGAATTTTTCTGGACCAGGAGAGGACAGGAGATCGCCCACATGAACTCTGAACAGTTGTTACTTTCAAAGAGACCACAAGGCAGTGGTTCCCACTGGGGTTTTGAGCACTGGGAGATAATGGAAATAATTATCTTGTTCACAACCACAGTCAGTGCCTTTTAAAAGCCGTTATATTCGTAAACTTCCTTTTCTAATCATGTTTAGAAATTGCTTGTTAACTACTTTTGAGATTTTACCTAAAAATACACAGCTAATTAATTGAGAACATGAAATGACACAAACTATTTTAACATTGAAAATACCAAAGGATATGTGGAGAAATGGAATCAGAAGTTAGTAATGTCAGTATCAAAGTTTGTTTCTATGGCTAGACCAGGGGTGAAATGCTCCCGGTTCGGACTGGATCACCCGATCCGGTAACGATGGCGGGTAGTGGTTCAGAGAACCGGGAACAAAAATCCCTGCCCCTCCCATGCCCAGCTGAGCCGCGCAATCATCAGAGTCTTTTTTTTTAATTTTTAAAAGCATTTTTTCTACAACCTCTTTGGCTGAAAAAATGCTTTTAAAAGTAAAAAAAAAAAAAGCCTCTGATGATCGCGCGGCACAGCTGGGATCATCAGAGACTTTTAAAAGCATTTTTTCTACAACCTCTTTGGCTGAAGAGGTTATAGAAAAATGTTTTTAAAAGGAAAAAAAGCCTCTGCCAATCAGGCAAGTCAGCTGGGATCGTCAGAGGCTTTAAAAAAAAAAGAAAGCCTCTGCCGATCAGGCAATTCAGCTGGGATCGTCAGAGGCTTTTAAAAGCATTTTTTTTACAACCTCTTCAGCTGAAGAGGTGGTAGAAAAAATGGTTTTAAAAGTAAAAAAAAAAAACATTGGCCACGCCTACTCAGTCAGGGTACTTACAAGACCGCCTTCTGCCACCAATAGCCTCCCACCGGCCAGTACGCTCGCACAGAGTGGGCCTCCTCAGGGTGCTGTCCGCCAGACAATGTTGGCTGGCGACCCCCAGGGGGAGAGCCTTCTCTGTGGCGGCGCCCACCCTCTGGAACAACCTCCCCCCAGAGATACGTACAATAACAGACCTCCGGATTTTTCGTCGGGCCCTGAAAACCTATTTATTTCAACTAGCTGGGCTGGCTTGAGTTAAATTTTAAATTGGTTTTAAATTGGGTTGTTTTAATTTACGGCCAAAATATTTAATTATTTTAAACTGTTTTTTAAATTTTGTATGTTCTGTTTTTTACTTTGGCTGTTCATCGCCCTGAGTCCTATTTGGAGAAGGGCGGTATAGAAATGAAAATAAATAAATAAATAAATAAATAAATAAATAAATAAATAAATAAATAAATAAATAAATAAATAAATAAATAAATAAATAAATAAATAAATAAATAAATATTATGCCCCCCCACCAAGCCACATCCACAGAACCGGTAGTAACAAATTTTACATTTCACCACTGGGCTAGACTGTGCCCAAAAGATGTTACAAAAGAACCCGGCAAATGAGGAACGTGTTTTATTTGAAAAGACAGAAATGGCATTGAAAGTGGATCTGCAAATAATTACAAGAGTGACATGAAAGACGATGTCTCACTGTACATATAAAAGAAACTGGTTGATACTTTAAAAATCCAAGGAGAAATACAAATAATAAACCAAAATTCAGTCACAGTTTTGTTCCATATAGCATCGATCTCGCGAACTCTCAAGTTTCCGTTATGTATTCAAAATGGACAGTGATTAATATATGTATGTATATATATGTATGGGTGCAGATATATCTTCATGTATGTACATAGCATGTGTATATGTGTGTATGTAGGTGTTTTGGGCAGATATATTCTTTCTCTTGAAAGTAGGCAACAGAATTTCATTTTTAATGTGGGCCAGTGTGCTCACAGTAAAAAAATGACAATAAAGTCTATTTTATTTTACCTGAAAGAGTGACCTGAATATTTTTTTTTGAATTAGATTTACAAAAGAGGCCTGTTAATTTATTTAATTTTATTTTTTAGAATCTTGTGACAAGAATCGAGAAAAGAAATCAAACTCTATAGCATTACTTGAATGGATTAAAGATTCAGGCTGTTAGAAGTAATAGGAAGGAATATAACATTGGTTTCTTTGATCAAGTTTAAATTAAGGTATTTTGCTACTTCTGGCTACCCTTTTTGGATTTTCTGCTAGAACTGCCTTATGGATTTGTCTGTAGCTAAAACATAGATGAACTAAAGAACTAAAAGACGATGAAGGGTTACAAAAATATTTTATATTTTGTTATGATGTAGGTTGGAAGTAAACTTTTATATGTTTTCTTTCTCTTAACTATATTTTTGCATTTCTTTTTTTCTATTTTCTGTGCTTAGTTTTTTCTCTTTTTTTTCCGACCTTTGCATTTTCTCTTTCTTTTCTTGTTCTTAGTTTGTATTACATTTGACTATTGTAACTGAAATCACATTTATTGAAAATGTTTTTTTTTCCTTTTTATGCCTTGTGGTTAAGTTGTTACTTTCTTGCACATTTTTTGAGTGAAGTTGTTTCCTAAATTTCAAGCTGCTGACAACTAGTTCTCTCTTCAGTTTCTATCCCATTTGTTCACTCATTTAAGGAAGTCTCATTGCATTCAACCTCAGTACAGCTGTGCAGTTGGAAGAGTGTTAGCTTTATTGTTTTTAGTTGCGAAGTCATGTCCGACCCATCGAGACCCCATGGACAACGTTCCTTCAGGCCTTCCTATCCTTTACCATCCTCCAAAGTCCATTTAAGCTCAGGCCGACTGCTTCAGTGACAGCATCCAGCCACCTCGTTCTCTGTCGTCCCCTTCTTTTTTTTGCCCTCAATCTTTCCCAGCATTAGGCTCTTCTCCGGTGAGTTCTTCCTTCTCATTAGGTGGCCAAAGTATTTGAGTTTCATCTTCAGGATCTGGTCTTTTAAAGAGCAGTCAGGGTTGATCTCCTCTAGGACTGAACGGTTTGATCGTCTTGCAGTCCAAGGGACTCGCAGGAATCTTCTCTAGCACCATAGTTCAAAGGCCTCAATTCTTTGGCGCTCAGCCTTCCTTATGGTCCAACTTTCACAGCCATACATTGCAACTGGGAAAACCGTAACCTTGACTATACGCACTTTTGTTGGCAGGGTGATGTCTCTGCTTTTTAGAATGCTGTCTAGATTGTTTCTCACTTATTTTTATTGTGTTTCAGGATTTGGGTCCAAAGGCAAACAGACTTAATTTGGTACAAATCCTTCTGTTAAAGATAAAGGAGAACTTCGGTCTCTTTTGCATCTGCTTAACCAAGTTTGATTGAAAAACAATCATTGGCCCAACCCTGGTTCTCTCTTCAGACAGGAAGTTAGCACTTTCTGTGGGGATTATGAATCTCAGGAACACGCACATTTCTATCTCATCCTGGCATAAAGAAAAAAAAGCACAGGGGTCCATGCGGAGACCAAACTTTACAGATAACAGATATGCTTATGGTTTCTCCATTGCTTCCTTGCAGCCAAGGCCTGATGGACTTCCCTGGTTTTGTCTCGGCAGGTGAAACCTCGTATCGTCATGGAGCAATTGCTCTGGGTCAGTGGCGGCGCAATCGGGGAGGTAAACACGTTCAGGATCCCTCTCATCACAGCGACACCTTACGGCACCCTTCTGGCCTTTTCGGAAGCCAGGAAGACTTCTGCTTCTGACAGTGGAGCTAAATTCATAGCCCTTCGCAGATCAGTAGACAAAGGTTTGTCTGTGGCTTAAGAAGCACGAGGGATGGGAGTGGACGGTGGTTTCTGTCTCACGGGCAGAAGTCTCTAGGGCCGTGATGATGAACCAATGGCACGCGTGCCACAGGTGGCACGCGGAGCCCTCTCTGCGGGCCCGCCAGACGTTGCTGGTCTTCGGGTCTCAGTCGCGCATGCACGGGGGGCAGGGCACATGCACAGAGGGGTGCAGGAGGCTTTTCAGGCCCAAAATGGGGCACAGGGGAGCCTCGCGCTGTGCCATTTTGGCCCTGGAAAGCCGCCTGCACCAACCTGGAAAATAAACGGGGTTGCAGGGGGTGCGCGAGGCCTCCCCTTGCCCCATTTTGGGCCTGGAAAGCCACCTGCACCAACCTGGAAACCAAAATAGGGTGCCAGGGGCGCATGTGCAGGGAGGTGCATGCATGGGGGATGCACGCGCATGCATGGGGATGCATGTGCATGCACGGGGGGGCTGGCATTACACTCGGCACCAAAAAGGTTAACCATCACTGCTCTACTGCTATCGGTAGATGCCTGAAGAGGAGAAACTAGAGTTCTAATTCTTGGGGATGATTGCTGAATTCATCCAGAATCACAGGGCTGTAAGGGAACTCAGAGGTCTTCTAGTCCAACCCTCTGCTTTTTGCAGGTGGTCCTCAACGTACGGCCACAGTTGAGCCGTAACATTTCTGTTGCTAAATGAGACAGTTAAGTGAGCTTGGCACCATTTTACGACCTTTCTTGCCACAGTTGTTAAGTGGTTTACTGGCAGTTGGTAAGCTAGTGACCTGGTCGTTAAGTGAATCTGACTTTCCCATGGACTTTGCTTGTCACAAATGGGGATCACATGACCTTGGGACACAGCAACACTCATAAATATGAACCATTGGCCAAGCGTCTGAATTTTGATCACATGATCCTGGGGATGTTGCAAAGATCGTAACTGTAAATTGTAACTTTACCACCTTTCTTGCCACTGTTGTTAAGTGAATCAATTGTTAGCCCTGGAGGCCATCTTTTACTTTGGATCTTCAGGACTGCCACACTCGGTGGATGGGCATGCTGTGGGAAATGGGATGGGGGTTGGATGGAGACAGGGTGAGATGTATAGTAAAAACAACATTCCTTTCCCTGGGAGTCAAGGACGTTCAGCCTGCACCTGGAGAGGTGTGACTGGGTAACATCTCCAGTTGGGACAGTGAATTGATTGGACCATGTGACAGACATGTGGGTGCAGGGGAAGAGACTTGGATGTTCTTTTGGGTGGGGAAAACCCGGAGGCCTTTCAGATTCGGGTTTTTCCAGATATGCCAATATGATGTCTCTAATAAACTGGAATTTTGAGGGGAATGCCTGCTTTAGAGTTTCATTTCTGTTGGTGGGGTGTTACTTGGAACCCTGACATCAGTTGTAAAACGAGGATTATCTGTACAAGTCAGGTGATGAAGAGACTGGATGGAAATGGACATCCTCAAAGCTCTGTGGTTTGCATACCTTAAACCCCACTTAAAACAAGCTGAACAAAAGTATGACACTGTTTGGTTACAACATTTCACAGAGCAGGGGAGAGGTTTTTATCTTCCCACCACAAAGGATTTTGCCTATTTAAGATATTTATATGGCTGCCCACCTTATAGGCAGGGTGGATTTGATTTAAATCATTAGTAAAAAGGCTTGATTTAAATCAACTCAATTTAAATCATAATTTTTAAAGAGCAACTGTCATCTCTGCTTCTCCTTTGACCCACTGTTGACTCACCGATAGTCCCAGTGTTGCAGAATATACAGCCTCATGCTACATAACTAAGCTCCATTTCATGCTGAATAAACTAAATTATTTATGTATCTTAAATAGAAAACTATCTTACGATAGATTTTTACCCCAAAAGTTTTTTATTAAAATAAATTCGATAAAAATAAAAAAAATCCAATTTAAATCAAAAAATCGATTTAAATAAAAAAAAATCTGGTTTTTTTTTGATAAAAATCATTGATTTTTATCCACCCTGCTTATAGGTAAGTCCTCAACTTACAGCCACAATTGAGCCTAAAATTTCTGTTGCCAAGCGAGACAGTTGCTAAGTGAGTTTTGCCTCATTTTACCTTTCTTGCCACAGTTGTTAATTGAATCAATGCAGTTCTTAAGGTAGTAATATGCTTGTTAAGTGAATCTGGCTTCCCCATTTGATTGTGCTCGTCAGAACGTCACAAAAGGCGATCACGTAACCCGGGGACACTGCAACCGTCATAAATACATGCCAGTTGCCAAGTGTTTGAATTTTCATCACATGACCCTGGGGATGCTGTAATGGTCATGTGAAAAAGTCATAGGTTGTTTTTTTTTTCACAGTGACGTAACTTTGGTCATTAAACGAATTATTGTAAGTCAAGGACCACCTGTATATCGTAAAACTCAGGGTAGCTCCTAATAACCATAAATATGGCTCAGTGGCTAAGACGCTGAGCTTGTCAATCAGAAAGGTCGGAAGTTCAGCGGTTCGAATCCCTAGTGCCGCGTAACGGAGTGAGCTCCCGTTACTTGTCCCAGCTTCTGCCAACCTAAGAGTTTGAAAGCACGTAAAAAATGCAAGTAGAAAAATAGGGACCACTTTTGGTGGGAAGGTAACAGCGTTTCATGCACCTTTGGCATTTAGTCATGCCGGTCACATGACCACTGAAACATCTTCAGACAGTGCTGGCTCTTCGGCTTTGAAACGGAGGTGAGCACTGCCACCTAGAGTCAGGAACAACTAGCACATATGTGCGAGGGGAACCTTTACCTTTTACCTCTATGAAAAATGTAAACCAGAATCTTGGAAAATTAAATATATATATATATATATCGTACTCCAGCCAAGAAACCATAATAATCCTCTACCAACTACATATCCAATTAACTCAGACAGGGCAGTGCAACTGTTGCTAGTAATAGCAATAGCATTTAGACTTATATACCGCTTCACAGTGCTTTACAGCCGTCTCTAAGTGGTTTTACAAAGTCAGCATATTGCCCCCAACAATCTGGGTCCTCACTTTACCCAGGGTTTACCCTTCGGAAGGATGGAAGGCTGAGTCAACCTTGAGCCTGGTGAGATTCGATCTGCCAAACTGCTGGCAGCCAGTGATCAGCAGGAATAGAATAGAATAGAATAGAATAGAATAGAATAGAATAGAATAGAATAGAATAGAATAGAATAGAATAGAATAGAATAGAATAGAATAGAATAGAATAGAATAGAATAGAATAGAATAGAAATAAGAATTAGGTTAGGCTAGGCTAGACTAGACTGAATAGAATAGAATAGAATAGAATAGAATAGAATAGAATAGAATAGAATAGAATAGAATAGAATAGAATAGAATAGAATAGAATAGAATGCCATTCCATGCCATGTCATTCCATTCCATTCCATTCCATTCCATACCATTCCATTCCGTACCATTCCATTCCATACCATTCCATTCCATTCCATTCCATTCCATTCCATTCCATTCCATTCTATTCTATTCTATTCTATTCTATTTTGGCTGAGTGTGATTGGACACACAAGGAATTTGTCTTTGGTGCATACGCTCTCAGTGTACATAAAAAGAAAAAATACATTCGTCAAGAATCGTAAGGTACAACACTTAATGATAGTCATAGGGTACTAATAAGCAATCGAATCATACTAGGAAACAATGTCAATATAAATCGTAAGGATACAAGCAACAAAGTTACAGTCATGCCGTCATAAGTGGGAGGAGATGGGTGATAGGAACGATGAGAAGACTAATAGTAATAGTAATGCAGCCTAATGTGAATAGTTTGACAGTGTTCAGGGAATTATTTGTTTAGCAGAGTGATGGCGTTCGGGGAAAAACTGTCCTTGTGTCTAGTTGTTCTGGTGTGCAGTGCTCTATAGCGTCGTTTTGAGGGTAGGAGTTGAAACAATTTATGTCCCGGATGCGAGGGGTCTGTAAATATCCTGCAGTACTGTGCGCTAACCACTGCGCCACCGCGGCTCTTGGTAATCCAAGAGGAGGCTGGTATCAGACTGGAAAAGCCTAGCAAAGAAATTTAATCCGTGATCTGCCTGTCCTTCTAGGTGCTAACTGGAGCCCAACTTCGTTCATAGTTGACGATGGTTCCCTCGTAGATGGCCTCAACCTTGGAGCTGTGGTGATAGATTGGGAAAAGGACACCGTGTTCTTAATCTATACTCTCTGTGCACACTTCCGCGGGTGTACCACTGCCAGCGTCATGATCATTCGCAGCTTGGATGATGGTGTCACGTGGAGCCGTCCCCGGAATCTCTCTGAAGAAGTCGGCACGACCATGTTTGCCCCTGGACCGGGCTATGGCATCCAGGTGAGCCTACACCTCAAAAAGAGAGGTGGTAAGAAATTATTGTGCTGAATTAATTCACCGTTTTCCTTACCCCCTGTTTATATGTGTCGCGATGATGATGTGGGACTGGAAGGCAACGGAGCCTGTAGCAAGCATCAGAATCAATGCTAATGTTGATCCTTATCCACCACCATTTTTACAAAACAGCAAATTTCTGCCACCCCTTCCAGATATAAATAAGTCAGCGAATAGGAGCAGATGAATTAATTCTACTGTCAGTGTTCCAGCGCTGACATATGAATAGGAGAGGAGAAGCTTGAACTTTTGCCTACTTAATTCCTTTGAAGATTCTGTTTCCTCGGAGATGGGAGGAGGGGGCACATTCCTGTCATCTGACGGAGATGGGATGAGGAGAGTGGCTTGGAAGTTAGCCAATGAGACGCAGAGAATTGGGGATCGGAAAGGGAGGGCTTGGGGGGGCAAAGGTCAGTGCTGACCACGAAAGAGCCAGGGACAGGTCACTATGCTCAATAAAGAGAACATTTCCTCAAAGATCGGCAGTTTGGAAATTCATTTATTTTGAGATAGCATCGAAACCTGACATCTACTTGATTGTAAGGCTTGTTGTTGTTGTTGTTGTTGCAAAGTCGTGTCCAACTCATCGCGACCCCATGGACAACGTTCCTCCAGGCCTTCCCGTCCTCTACCTTCCTCTGGAACCCATTTAAGCTCACGCTGACTGCTTCAGTGACTCCATCCAGCCACCTCGTTCTCTACCATCCCCTTCTTCTTTTGCCCTCAATCTTTCCCAGCATTGGAGGCAGAGATTGAGGTAGACAGCAGCAAGGCAGAGGAACAGTGTATGCATGCGCAGAGCTGCCAGAAGAATAACTCAGAAAGCAGGGTCAACTCAAAAGTAAAACCCACACCTTGGAGGTGATTGGCCCCTCCCATAGGAAATAAAAGAGGAGTGAACAGGGAGTGGACTTTTGCAGGAAACAATTTGTTCATTCAGTGACTCTGAGAGACTCTGTGCCAGGTTTTGCTTTGTACTGCGTTTGGAAACAAGTTACGTGGCAGCTTGCCAAGCAAGATAAGGTGTTTTTGAGAAATATTACTTTGAAAAACTGTTTGGACAAACCTTGCTGACACCCAATGAACGTAATTCACAGTCATGTAAATAAAAGAAGTTTTGCCGGGACCGATTCCTGCCTCCTGCTTGTTAAGGGAGCCTAGGTCAGAACACAGATAACCCAGTTTTAATTGTAGGAGGAGAGGAGAAAAGGACACAGAAATAACGTGGATGTGTGGATATCAAAATCCATAGAAATCTCCATATATAAAATACGGGCATAGGTGTCCAATCCTAAGCAGAGGTAGCATTTTCATGGAAGAATGAAGTGCACTCTCTCTTTCTCTTTTGAGAAAGGGATGGAGAAGAGAAGCAGTGCAGTGCAGTGGTGAAGAAAACAGCAATTAAGTGCTCACATTCCTAGCTGTCAGGCCCAGTAAACCAGGGAAGACACCCGGTATCGCTTCCAAGCAGAGTTGTTTATTGTTCCATATCTATACACAGAATCTTGCCAAACTTAAGCTGGTTATTAAGACCAGCTGCCTGCAATTACTGCAGGTTCGAATCTCGCCAAGGCTCAAGGTTGACTCAGGCTTCCATCCTTTCTAAGGTACATAAATTGAGGACCCAGTTGTGGGGGCAATAAGCTGACTTTGTATAAATATACAAAAGAATGAAGGCTATTGCTTAGCGCATTGTAAGCCGCCCTGAGTCTCCGGAGAAGGGCGGCATATAAATCAAATAAATAAAAAAAAAAAACCCGAAGTACTCTGCTATCTACATCAAGCATCCACTCTGAGAATATTAGTGTCTGACAGAGACTGGCTGAGCCAGGGGGAGGAATCAAGTGGGGAATTAGTCTGGAATCTCTACATAGGCCACGGGTCAGCAACCTGCAGCTCTGGAGCCGCATGTGGCTCTTTCACCCCTCTGCTGTGGCTCCCTGTCACTCAAAATATGCGTCACAACTACCAATGTGCGACACCCACCGGCACGCAATTTATTGAGCTTTTCAACCCCCAGTAGGCCAACCATGGATAAATCCAAGAAAAGAAAAGTTTCAGAAGAAAACTGAATGTTTAATTCAACTACATACGCTAGTTTTGTGGCCGCTCAAGAAATAGTTCAGGCACCGGAAGGGCTTTGTGCAGGGGTGAAATTCAAAATTTTTCCCTACCAGTTCTATAGGCGTGGCTTGGTGGGTGTGGCAGGGGAAGGATATTGCAAAATCTCCATTCCCACCTCACTCTGGGGCCAACCAGAGGTAGTATTTGCCGATTCTCCGAACTACTCAATATTTCTGCTACTGGTTCTCCAGAACCTATTAGAACCTGCTGGATTTCACCCCTGGTTTTGTGGCTCCCGGTGTTTTCTGTGGGAAACGGGTCCAAATGGCTCTTTGAGTGTTTAAAGTTGCAGACCCCTGACATAGGCACATGTGGGCAATGTCCGATTCCCCCACTGAATACTGTTGAACCTTATCCAGAGAAGATTCCTGGGTTATAGAGATAAGCAACAGAGTAGCTAATTGAACTCTTCCTGTGTGGATCTGGTTGTTTATGTCTGAGAGTTGCTTTCTTCACCTCACACATCTGGAGTTTCTGTTATTCCTCTGAAATGCATTTCCTGTTGTGACCTAGGTTTACTGAGCATTACAAGACACAAACCTATTTTATTGTAATAGCTGAGAATTACGTTCATTCCCAGCTGAGTCCTAATTAGTTGCAAAACAAGTCCTTCAGAAGAAGTCCTTCAGGATAGTCACCAACCTTTATCTTCTTTGACACCCTGCCAAAGGCCTGATTTGGCAAAGCCCCACGAAATTCAGAAACAAACAAGAGATGCCGACTAGAAACAGAGTTAGCATCGTTGCTTTCCTGCAAAAAGGCCCAAGTGCCTCTGTTGCTCTTTTAAGCCTTATGGGAGGGGCCAATCATCTCCTGGCCTTACTGCCGAGTCGTCCCTTTTGCTTTAGCTGCTCTTGCCTTCTGGCAGCTCTGTGTATGCATTCACTAGGAACAGGCTCCCCTTGTTCCCCTGCCTCTCTGCTATCCTTCTCTGGAGGTTCCAGAGTCCACGCATCACTCCCAGATGGCCCTGGCCCCATCTCTGCCTTCGAGACAGAGCCCTCGTCCGGGCCTTCCCCAGATTCCAGGACTGGCCCATGTTCCTCCCCAGCCTCCTCACTGTTTGACTCCACTGCCAGCTCCCACAGGCTGCTGGCGGACCACAACACCTCCTCCCACCTGGAGATCGAGTTTACTACATTCCATTTCATTAACCCAATCTGTCCTGGTTTGCAGAAACGCTACGAGCCCGAGAAGGGACGATTAATTGTTTGTGGTCATGGGACTTTAGAGCTGGATGGGATCTCCTGCCTCCTCAGTGATGACCATGGCCTGACCTGGTATTACGGAAGACAGCCCTTGCACGGCATTCCTTACGGAGGGCAGAAGAATTTCAGTGACTTTAATCCTGACGAATGCCAGGTCAGTACAACTGCGAAGGTCGAACCTTGGCTATTGAGTTTTACCTCTCAGAAAGAAATCAAAGGCGTCACTGGTTTAGAACGTTATTTGCAGATGGCGGACATTTGTACTTGATTTTGAGGGAAATGTGAGAGAACCGCTGAGTAAGCTATTAAGGAAGAACTTGAAGAACAAACTGCGCAAAGCAGAGACTGAAGGAGATCACGAGAAAGAAAATCCTACCTTAATTTTGTTTGCTTTATAATAAGGGACAGAAAAACACCTGGAACTAGTTTTCAGGATTGTGTTCAGCTCCTTGAGGTAGGCCCAGTCAAAGAAACAGATATTGCAGGAATTGTAGGAATGCTATTTTATTTTATTACAGGGTATAACAGTTGACAATCATATACTAAACTAGTCTAACTATCTATGGATTCCTATCCCCCCCTTGACACTTTAACTCCCCTTTTACTTAACTAAATATAAATACTCTTAATTTTTCTATTCATTCATAAGCTATTTGATACTTTTTAGTCTGATATTTGTTTTGAATATAATCGATCCATCTTCTCCATTCCGATATATATCTTTCTTGTGAGTGATCTTTCAAATAAGCTGAAATTTTCGCCATTTCTGCTAAATTCGTTACTTTTAATGTCCATTTTTCAATAGTAGGCAAATCTTTCTTCTTCCAATATTGCTGCAGTTATTAAATTTAAGATCAATTTAATCTCTATAACCGTACAATCTGTGATTATACCCGGCAAAAACAACTGTGGAGTAAACTTTATCTTCTTTTTAAGGATATTTTGGGTAATCCACCATATTTTAATCCAAAATGCTTTAACTTTTTTACAAGTCCACCATATATGGATAATAAGTGGCATCATCACTGAGCCTTGGTAGTACAGTGGTCTAAGGCACCCTGTTATTAACACAGCTGCCTGCAATTACTGCAGGTTCGAATCTTACCAGGCTCACGGTTGACTCAGCCTTCCATCCTTTCTAAGATAGGTTAAATGAGAACCCAGTTTGTGGGGGCAATAAGCTGACTTTGTATAAATATACAACAGTATGAAGGCTATTGCTTAACTCATTGTAAGCCGCCCTGAGTCTCCAGAGAAGGACGGCATATAAATCAAATTAAAATAAAATAAAAAATAAATAAAAAATCACAATCGCATCTCCAACACTTAGATTGCAAATTCGGATACATACAAGCTAACTTTTTAGGATCCAAATGCCATCTATAAAACATTTTATTGTAGTCAGTACCATTGAAAGCCCGAACAAATGTCTTTTGTGTCCCCACTTATATGAAATAAAGCCAAGGTGAGTTACGGATAGTCCTCAACATATGACCAGAGTTGAGCCCAAACTTTTATGTTGCCAAGTGAGAAATTTGTTAAAGTGTCCCATTTTGCGACTTTTCTTGCTACATTTGTTAAGCGAATCACTGCAGTTGTTAAATTGGTAACACGGTTGTCAGACGAATCTGGTTTCCCTATTGGCTTTGCTTGTCAAAAGAGGATCACGTGACACACACCCGGGCCACTGCAACTGTCATAAATGTGAGCCAGTTGATAAGCATCCGAATGTAAACCCCATGTGACCATGGGGATGCTGAAACTGTCATAAGTGTGAACAATGGTCATAGCAGTGGTGAAATGTAAAATTTGTTACTACTGGTTTTGTGGGCGTGGCTTGGTGACTGGGTGGGCGTAGCCAACTTTTTTTTTTTTTTTTTTTTTACTTTTAAAAGCATTTTTTCTACAACCTCTTCGGCCAGTTGTAAAAAAAATCTGCTTTTAAAAGGCACTGACAATCCCAGCTGAGTTGCCTGATTACCAGAGGCTTTTGTTTTCTTTTAAAAACATTTTTTTTTTTTTTTTGCTTTTAAAAGAAAAAAAAGCCTCAGACGAACAGGCAACTCAGCTGGGATCGTCAGAGCCTTTTAAAAGCATTTTTTTCTACAACCTCTTCAGCCAGTTGTAGAAAAAAATGCTTTTAAACGGCTCTGACGATTCCAGCTGAGCCGCGTGATCATCAGAGGCTTTTTTTTTTTACTTTTAAAAGCATTTTTTCGGCTGAAGAAAAAATGCTTTTAAAAGTAAAAAAAAAAGCCTCTGATGATTGCACGGCTCAGCTGGGCATTGGGGGAGGCAGGGATTTTTGCGACCGGTTCTCTGAACCACCCGCCGCCATCGCTACCGGATCGGGCAATCCGGTCTGAACCAGGAGCATTTCACCCCTGAGTCATAGATAGGTCACTCATTTTGGTGCCCTTGTAACTTTGAACAGTCATTAAGCGAACTGTTGTAAGTCAAGGACTACCTGTATTTTGAGTTTCGTTTTCACATTTCCTTCAGTCTGTGGACTGTGTTTCTTCTTCCTTCCTTCACAGCTCCTCTTCCACTCTGATCAGCACTCTTACACTTTCCCAAGGTCAATTCTACATTCCTTTTACAAATTGCAGGAGATTATCTCACCTTGTAGTTGTAGGATTCCTGAGAATTTCCGTCAAATGGAAAGTCAGTAAATTCTCTACATTTGAAATGGATTTGAAAGAGAAAGGTAAACTGGATTTCATGTTTCCAGAAAAGCGATTTGAAACCCAGGCAACGTGACCCTGTCTAAATTCATTCAGAATTTCATCCCACTTAAGTTCAGGAGGAACCATATTCAGACAATAAAGATGCATCCAAGGATGGTTTAAATATTAATGTAAGAGAATCCTTAGAAATTGGCAGACCACTGCGAGGGACTCGGGCCAAACTGAGATGCATTTTACACTGCTGTGTTTTGAGGTGATGACTCAGCTGTTTTAACATCTCATCTCTTCTTTCTCTGAATGGCTCTGTCCATGTGGCTCTGGTGAGGTGGAAATCGGTTGGCTAATGAACTGCCAATACTATAGCTAGTCTTCGACTTACGACCACAATTGAGCCCAATATTTCTGTTGCTAAGTGAGACAGTTGTTAAGCTTTGCCCCCGTTTTACGACTTTGTCTTGTCAAAGCTGACTCTAGGCAGCTTTCAGTTAAAATGACAATTAAGATTTCTTTCTTTCTTGATGGTTGAAACAAATTGGGAGTGTGAGGTCTTACCGAAATGAGGAGAAAAAAGAATCTTAAGTGTTTATCCCAAATCATCTTAATTTCATCTGCAGGCCCATGTGTTCTGTGTAGTAAAGATTTTGCTTTAAAAATCATGCTCTATATCAGGGGTATCAAAATCAAGGCCTGGGGGGGGCCTTGATCTGGCCCACAAGGTGCTTAGATCTGGCCCGCAGGGCCACTCTGGAAACCGCAAAGGACCCTCCTGCAGAACGACCTCCTGCCAGTGAAAACGGAGTTCGGGAGGGCTGCGTGCACTCCTCCCAAGGTCCGTTTTCACTGGCAGATGGTTGCAGGAGGCTGTCTCAGCCGAAACGGAGCTCAGGAGCTCGTGTTCACTGGCAGAGTGCTCGGGCCACCACACGAATGACGTCGAGCTGGCCACGTACACCCCGGCCCCCCAAGGTCAAACACAACCCTGAAATGGCTCTCAATGAGTTTGACACCCCTGCTCTATATGGCTTAGCAGAGCTTGGAAACCTAGTCGTTGTGGCTCACAAACCACGCCAATAGAAAGTGTGAGGTCCTACCCAAATACAGAGGAAAAGAAAGAATATGATTGCTTATCCCAAATCTTCTCAGCTTCTCATTGGTCTCCTTTTCGAACAGCCCTATGAGCTGCCAGATGGCTCCGTGGTGGTGAACGCCCGGAATGAGAATTTCTACCACTGCCGATGTCGCATAGTGGTTCGCAGTTACGACGGTTGCGATACCCTTCCGTTGGAGAACGTGAGATTTGATGAGGGTTTAATAGATCCCGCAGTGGCTGCAGGAGCTCTTGTCAAATCCGGTCTGATTTTCTTCACCAATCCAGCTCATCGTGAGCTGCGTGAGTAAAAATAATCAAAAGATTGGGATTTTCTCTCTGTTTATATATTTGCATCTGGGCGTACAAGTTGCACAATGCTACCATTTGCTTAACCTTGGTGTATTATGTCACAATTGGCCAAATTCACTCAAATTGCTGGGGGTGGGAAATGTTTTCGCTGATTCTTTTTCTTTTATACAACTGTCTCCTGTCCCTACACACATTGAAAGGTATGGAATTGACGCAAGAGATTTTTGTATCCGTAGTACTTCTATTTGTTGTACATTTTGCTTAACTTTCTGCTAGTTCTGTTAATTTCCCTATTAAACCTTGGAACCAAAATTACAGGTGAAGACCATTACTTTATAAAGGTTAATAATCACTAATTGTAGCATGCCTTCAGGATCTTCCAGAGTTTCATGGGCAAATTCATCCAAGTAGGAGGTACTGTGAATTCTATCTGGGTGATACTATTATTTATAACATTTGATGCAGACTGTGCTGCAGTAAATACAGCACAGTCTGCAGCAGTTAAAAGGCTTTCCCCCCCCCAGTCTTAAAACAGCAGGCATAACTATCCAGCCAGCCAGGTGTCACCTAGGATTTTCTGAATTAGATTACCTTGATCACCAAGAAATTAAGGCGTCCTCAGGGTCACCTGAATAGTGCAAATGGGTGTGGATCTTTCTTGGAACTGCTGAAAGGACTGTGTTGTAAACAGGAGATAGGTGGTGTCATATTCCTCCCCCTCTGTGGAGAATGTCCAGAATATGGAAGAGTGAAACTTCTTGTTAAAATGTGCAAATATTTCTAAACCGGTGTTTCTCAACCTTGGAAACTTTAAGCTATGCAAACTTTAACTCCCAGCCTGCTGGCTGGGGAGTTCTGAGAGTTGAAGTCCATGCATCTGAATACTGTATTTGCAAGTTTAAGGAACATAGGTGGTCCTCAACTTACAACCATTCATTTAGTGACGGTTTGAAGTAACTGCTTTATAAGCTCGACGCTGAATATTTTTTTTTTCCTTTCCATTGCAGGGGTCAACCTGACGCTACGCTGGAGTTTCACCAATGGGTCTTCTTGGTGGAAAGAACCCTTGCTGATCTGGAGAGGTTCCAGTGGCTATTCCTCCATGACCACCCTGGAGGGAAATTCTCTGCGGGACGACCACTGCCTCTTTGTCATTTATGAGAAGGGCGAGGTCGAATATACAGAAAGTATCTCTGTGGCCAAGATTAGCCTCAACGGGCAGCTCTGATCCTCCTTTCTGGGGCATCTTAAACATTTTCAAATTTTGTCATGGGAGGGAAAAGAAAATGTGTGCTTGGACTGGGGAGAAACCAAACAAACTGGTGTTTTGGGGATCTAAAGAATGCAATTGAAGGACATGGGTAGAGAGCTTGGGCATGTCTCAGCAGAAGTCAGGGCGGCTAAAGAGGACCACATAATTATTTTCCAATTGTGCCCTGCACTTCTCTTTGTGCCTGCCTAATGGGCAACCCCCCCCCCCCTCCGAACCTCTGTTATTTCTTTCTGATTTTCTGAGGTTGAGTCTGTTTTCCTGTGCTTTTTCTCACATTTATGAATGTGCATAGGTTTATAGAAATTGTGCGTAGATCAGGTAGGGATGGGCCAGATCCCTGGAACGAAACACAAAGGCAGACTTTGTGAGGGATAAATTTATGCACTTTCGACTGACTTTCTGAACAATAAAATGGAATCAAGAGCAGAAGATGTCCACTTGCTGGACCCAAAAAACCCTAAAACGCGCCTGAAGGTTCGCAGGCAGGGTGTGTGGGAGAACAAGCCAGTTTTTCTTCTGCGTTGCCAACATCTGTGATTTCAAATGAATGTATTTCAAACCTGTGTCCCCATTTTTCTGATGGGACAAGTTGCTTCTATGGTTTATAAAAAACGTTGGACTGTGAATTTTAAGAGCACAAAAGAAAAGAGTGGGGTGGGCAGAGAGGCGAACAAGCAGGGGACAGTTTTGAGGTAAAAATATTTATGGAAGTTCTCAGTCGTCCAGGTTACGGTGGTCCCAAAGGTGCTTTTTTTCAAGAGGCAACAACTGGCCTTTGTTTTTCCTTGAAGACATTTTGCTTCTCATCCAAGAAGCTTCTTCAGTTCTGACTGTAGTTCAGAACTGAAGAAGCTTCCTGAATGAGAAGGAAAAGCCTCTTGAAAAAGCACCTTTGAGTTGTTAAAAATATTCTTCACAGAAATGACCTCTCTGCATCGGCTACTTCTCTGCTGACGGATTGCAGGAGTGCAAAATCCATGGGCTCTATTGAGCCCCCCCCTTCAAAAAAAAAAAAAACAACCCTTAGTGTTTACTCCTCCAGTATCTCAAGATCAGCAAAATGGCTGCATTTTGGTGGCCTGTATTTTAAGGATGGATTGTGGGTGGTTTGTAATTCATAGATTTTGTTCCCATTTCTACTCTAAAAATTCCAGCCTTAAGTTTGCCAACCTAAAGCTGCTAAGCTTGAGAAATGCTGCGGTAACCACTTGGAGTGCTTACCCTGGTTTATATTTTAATGATGAATCTTCATGGATGTGTTTTTTTTCTTAATGCCATAAAGTTGTGGCCCCTTTGGGCTGGAGGATAATCTGCACACATTTTTGCTTCTTTTCATTCACACACCTCTTTGTGAGTCGATTTTTTAGAACTTAGGCCTCCAATTATCTGACGTTTCTCTATAAAGTCCATATTGTGACTATGTGTGAATCAGTTTAGCTGTCTGGGGAATTATTTTTCCGCCTTTCCTTTAATGTGCAATCTTGTTTGAGGAGGCCAAGTTTTGGGAAATTGGTTTTTTTAATTATTGGTGTGACAGTCGTTTTATTTTCAACATTTTTTTTTAATTAACTGATTGATTATAAAGCATCAAGTCCTTTTTGATGTGTTTTTGGGTGTTAGGAGTCGAAAACAACTAGAACAGCAGATAATCAGTCAAGCAATTCCGACACCCTGGTGGGTGGCCAGCTTGGTTCCAGTCTCCAAATTCTTTTCATCATTAAAAAGAAGATAAGCTGGTAATTCCTAACACAGAAACACCCATACAAGAGTCAGATGCAGTTAATAAAGCTACAAAGCTTACCTTGAGCTCCAGGCAACAGTCAGGTAGCATAATTGACGCCATGAAGCTAATTCTTGGAAGAAGAAATCTGAACTGAGTTCAAGGGCATGGATGTACGCTATAGATTTTACACCTACTCATCAGAAGCGTCATGGAATAAAGCTTTAGTAGCTGATAATTCGAGCAAGGCCTTTTTTTTTTTTTTTGTGATTTTGAACACAACAGTTTTAACTGATGGGTGCTGAAAGAAAGAAAGAAAGACAGCAAGCTATAGGGTGGGAATGATCCAGGGCGTGCTAACCTTTATTTAGTTATTTAATGGGCTCTTTTACACAACCACATCCTAGGAGGGCTCGAGCCACAGCCAATAAAAGCAAATCCTTGCAAAATGTCCTCCAAAGAAACTACAAGACATAATAAATTGTCTTAAGGAAGGAAAACTCAAAAAGGGGAGGGGAAGGAACCGTTATTTCTACCGTAGCAGTTTTATTTATTTATTTTAATCTTGATTTTTATGTTGTTTGCCTTTTCAATCTTGATTTTTATGAGGAGTGCCTTTATCCAGACGTTGGAAGTAAACTCTCTTCAGTTACTGGAAGATTACTAAATATGTAAAATAAAAGATGAATGGAATGAATGAAATGTGATACCTTTTGTTAAATAAGCAGAGGTTTATCTCAGATTTCAGCTTCTTGAGTCATAACTTATATTGTATATATTTGTTTGTGTATAAACTTCCCCACACCCTTGGAGAAATTAATTAAAAGGCTTAGTATTTATTTTTTAAAACTATTTTATTGCTGACTGGGAGGCCCTTACAGACTTTTTGGTGAAATGGGAAAAAAATGAACATTCCTTATGGTTTGGATGATTAGGAAAGATAGATAATAGAAAGAAGTAAGTTTGTTTTTGTAACCATAAAGTATGAGGTAATTTTGTATGTGTTCTAATAATTGTAAAGAAAATTGGAAACTACTTTTATGGTTTTTTCTTTCTTTACTTTTGGATTGTTCTCTGTTCTCTGTTTTTCCCTTTTTCGTTTTACTTTACATTAATAAAATAACTAATTAAAAAATAGCTGTTTAAAATAACTAATTAAACAAAATGTGTATTTTTAAAAGCGTGAGTGTATCATTCCCACTTGGATAGAAACTAATCGAGGAGAGAAGCAACCTAGAACTAAGGAGAAATTTCCTGACAGAACAACTAATCAGTGGAACAACATGGCACCAGAAGTTGTGAATGCTCCAACACTGGAAGTTTTTAAGAAGAGATTGGACAACCATTTGTCTGAAGTGGTGTAGGGTTTCCTGCGTGAGCAAGGGGTTGGACTAGAAGACCTCCAAGGTCCCTTCCAACTCTGTTGTTCTACTCTACTCTACTCTACTCTAAACTTCAGCCTATTTCAGGATACAGGCACCTGAGCCCTAATCACCTCCCGTTTTGACTACAACAATGCATTCATATTGGTCTGCACTTGAAAAGAATCCAGAAGCTTTAATTGGTTCAAAATGCAGTGGCCTGCATGGTTGTGTGCAAGTTTAAGATTTCCACATGTGTCACCACTTTTGAGGGAGCTACATTGGCTGCTGATTTGCCTCCTGGTCCAATTCAAGGTGCTGGTTGTCACCTTTAAAGCCCTACCCAAGTTATTTGAAAAGCCATCTTTTCCCAAATATACCTGACCCACCAGACCAGAGAGAGGGTATGTTACTTTTCCCCTTAAGGAGTTTCATTGGTGGGATCAAGAGAAAGGTCCTTCTCTGTGATAGCCCCTTCCCTGTAGAACATCATCACTCCAGAATGTCCCAAAGGTGATTTTTCAAGAGACAACTGTACTTTCTTGTTTTTCCTTGGAGATGTTTTGCTTCTCATCCAAGAAGCTTCTTCAGCTGCGACTGGATGGTGGGGAATGGAAGGATTTATATTCCTTGTAGACAGCTGGTCATTTTCATTCTTTTAGAGAGTCGTTGAGGACACTTGGAAGTTTATCTGTATCCTCAGGGTCACCCGAGTAGTGCAAATGGGTGTGGAGGCTTCTTGGAACTGTTGAAAGGACTGTGTCGTAGATGAGATAGATGGCTACTCAGGTGACCCCCGAGGACACAGATAAACCTCCAAGTGGCCTCAACAACTCTAAAAGAATGCAAATGACCAACTGTCTGCAAGGAATATAACCTCTTCCATTCCCCACCATCCAGTCAGAGTTGAAGAAGCTTTTTGGATGAGAAGTGAAATGTCTTCAAAGAAAAACCAGAAAGTACAGTTGCCTCTTGAAAAAGCACCTTTGGGACAACCATGACCTGGATGATTAAGAATCTCCACAGACATCCTTCCAGAAATAAATTTGGGCACATGCTTTCAAAAGGCCTCATGATGTAGTTTCGTCAATGGGCCTGGTGATTCCATGGTAATATGAATCCCCCACTTAGCGTGACTCCATATAAATTTTAATGAAATATGCTTTAAATGTACTTCCTGTGTTGCTAAGGTTTTACGGAATCTTGGGCATTAACCTGGCTTAGATCACCCTGTTCTAACAAAGTAAATCCAACAATGAAGATTTCTAATCCAGCGATTTATTTCTAGTAAGTACAATGTGTCCACCCAATTTCTAAAGACATTTTAGAACTGATAATAGACTTCAAGAATGAGAAGACTCTGAATAATCTCGTAGTTTAATTAATTAATAACAATTTTAAGTACAGTTGTTAAGATGAGTTGGCAATTTTCTCAGGATATTTCAGATTGCACCTCACATAATCTTAGCTCTTATAGTAATGGTGGTTATAGGAATTGATGCTTTCAAGGTTTTTGAAATGTTATTGAAATTCTTTCCCCATAACTAAGAACAGCTTGCCCTTGTCAGATGGAATTGTTCTGAAAGCATACTTCATCAGTTTCACTTAAAAACAAAATCTTAGAGATCATCTTGGAGCTCATCAAAGAAGAGGGAGTCAAGCTATTCTCCAAAGCACCTGAGGGCAGGACAAAAAGCAATGGGTGGAAGGAGAGAAGCAACTTAGAACTAAGGATAAATTTCCTGACAAGTTAGAACAATGAATCGGTGGAACAACTTGCCTCCAGAAGTTGTGAATGCTCCAACATTGGAAGTTTTTAAAAAGATGTTGGATAACAATTTGTCTGAAGTGGTGTAGGGTTTCCTGCCTAAGCAGGGGGTTGGACTAGAAGACCTCCAAGATCCCTTCCAACTCTTATTCTATTCTATTCTATTCTATTCTATTCTATTCTATTCTATTCTATTCTATTCTATTCTATTCTATTCTATTCTATTCTGATGCATGTTAGTTCCTATGTGGATAGGACCATTTTGCTTATTTCCAAGAGTGATGCAGTGTAACACTTGGTCTAAACATCAGCAGTTTTAAGATTGTGGCCTTCAGCTCTCAGAATTCCTTAGCCAGCATGGTGGCTGTGGAATCCTGGGAGTTGTAGTCCAACCTCTTAAAATTGATGAAGTTAGGAAACATTGGTCAAGAAGCTGTGAGTCTTATCATAAAATTGCCCCTTGTGTAACCTTGGACCAGGCCTCATCTTTCTGTCTAAACTACTTTACAGGGTGGTTATGAAACAAAAGAAGGATCTTGCCCCCCTGAGCTTCCTGGAAGATGGCAGGAGAAAAATGACCATGTCACACAACACAGGAAGTTTTTAAGAAGATGTTGGATAACCATTTGTCTGAAGTGGTATAGGCTTTTTTTATTTTTAAATTTAATTTTTAATGCGTTAAGCTATTGCTTAACACATTGTAAGCCGCCCTGAGTCTCCAGAGAAGGGTGACATATAAATAAAAAAAAATTTTTTTTTTCAATTTTTAATTTTAATTTTTAAAAGCATTTTTTCTATCACCTCTTCGGCTGAAAAAATGCTTTTAAAAGTAAAAAAAAAAGCCTCATGATCGTGCGGCTCAACTGGGATCGTCAGAGGCTTTTAAAAGCATTTTTTTCTACAACCTCTTCAGCCAAAGAGGTTGTAGAAAAAATGCTTTTAAAAGCCTCTGACGATCCCAGCTGAGTTTCCTGATCAGCAGAGCCTTTTTAAAGCATATTTTTACAACCTCTTCAGCCGAAGAGGTTGTAGAAAAAAATGGTTTTAAAAGTTAAAAAAAAAAAAGTTGGCCACGCCCATCTAGTCACATTACCCCCCACCAAGCCACGCCCACAGAACCCGTAGTAACAAATTTTACATTTCACTACTGGTTCATACTTACGACTGTTGCTGTGTCCCCGAGGTCACGTGATCACCTTTGGCAATCTTCTGGCAAGCAAAGTCAATGAGGAAGCCAGATTCACTTAACAACCATGTTAGGATCAACCACAGGGATTCGCTTAGCAACCGTGGCAAGAAAGATCGTAAAACGGAGCCAAACTCACTTTAACAAACGTCTCACTGAACAACAGAACATTCTGGGCTCGATTGTGGTCGTAAGTCGAGGACTACCTGCATCTTGGCAACAATTAAGCAGCAGAAACGCTGGAGCAGTCGGGCACTAGGACCTTGAAGTGCTTTGCTCAGAAGTGGTACCCACTCTTGCTGGAAGCAGAAGGCATCACCAGAGCCTCTTGCAGCATCGTTGCTACGCATCTATTTGCTACAGAAACATGGCTAGCCAGACCCAGGGAATTCAGCAGCTGCTGCAGGCAGAGAAGAGGGCTGCAGAGAAGGTGGCAGAGGCCCGAAAACGTGAGTTGGAGCTCCCGGTTGTTAGGGAAGATGCTGGAAGTGGGGTGTAGGCTGACCAGCAGAGTACCCACGTTCTCAAGTGGAGAACGGCAGCATCTTTCAGTTTCTCATGGAGAGGAATGGCAGGGATGTTTTGAGGAATGCTGGGCCTTGAAAGGTCATCTCTGCTTTGTCCTTGGACTTCTTTTTCTCCATCCCAGGAAAGGCCAGGCGGCTGAAGCAGGCCAAAGAAGAAGCCCAGGCTGAAATTGAGCAGTATCGCTTGGAGCGTGAGAGAGAATTCCAGCAAAAACAACAGGCGGTGAGATGAAGGGGTTGGGGCTTACTTAGCCTTGCAGTGATGAAACACAGAGGAAGGGTGGGGAGGGGAATAAAAGATTAGAAGGGGACGTTGATGATGGAGTAGGCGCTTCTAAGTAGGAGCTTCTAAGAAGCCTGGTGGGAATTTTGGAGAGGAGGAAGAGAGAAAGGGTGGTACAGAGGTCTGGATAGATGAAGGCTGGAGTTGGCCTTTCCATTGCAATTTAAGATAGGGAGTTTTGCATCAAGGTTTTTGAGATATTTGGTGAGCCCCAGATGTTTTGCTTCCTATTGAAGTCAAGGTATATAAAACCGTAATCTGGCCACCTTGAAAACAAAATACAAATAAATCCCCGAATAGAAATGCATCTAAAGATGTAATGGAATGTGTGAGTGACCTTGGGGGATGAAGGAAAGAGATGCTGCCTAGAAAAGAACCAGACAAGAGAAGCAGGAGTCCACAATGGCCTAACGGTCACAGGAAGAAACTTAGGAAAGACCCACTGAAATGGATCAAGCATTAAAAATGGTGGTGGGAAGGTTTTATTTTCAGACTTACACATTTATGTTAATGTAGCCTTACAATGAAGTAGAATTAGCTCATCTGGTTGTTGTTTCCCATCTGGATTACCTGGGAAGACCGACAAAACATATAACCCTTCACTGTCCCAAAGGTGCTTTTTCAAGAGGCAACTGGACTTTCTTGTTTTTATTTATTTATTTATCTATTGGTTCGATTTATATGCCGCCCTTCTCCGGAGACTCAGGGTGGCTTACAATGCACTAAGCAATAGCCTTCATACTTTTGTATATACCTGCTTAGTAGGGCTTTCGGCCCCCTCTAAGCGGTGTTCTTTTTTATACAAAGTCATCTTATTGCCCCCACAATCCGGGTCCTCATTTTACCTACCTCGAAAGAATGGAAGGCTGAGTCAGCCTTGAGCCTGGTGAGATTTGAACTCACAGTAATTGCAGGCAGCTGGCAGCTAAGTGCTACTTAACAGCACTTTAGTTTGCTGCGCCACCAAGGCTCTGATTTTCCTTGAAGACGTTTCGCTTCTCATCCAAGAAGCTTCTTCAGCTCTGACTGGAGGGTGGGGAATGGAAGGCTTTATACTCCTTGCAGACAGCTGGTCATTTGCATCCTTTTTAGACAGTCGTTGAGGCCACCTGGAGGTTTATCTGTGTCATCAGTCTGCAAGGAGTATAAATCCTTCCATTCCCCACAATCCTAGTGGAAAGGAAGAAACATATTCAGTTTTTATCTGGAATACTGGATTCATTTCAAATTAAATTTCCTTATTTGAGCCTTTCCCTTTACAGGTAGCCCTCGACTTACGACCACAACAACATTTCTGTTGTTAAGTGAGATATTTGTTAAGTGAGTTTTGCCCCACTTTACAATCTTTCTTGCCAGAGTTGTTAAGTGAATCACTGCAGTTAATAAATTAGTAACCCAGTTATTAACTGAATCTGGCTTCCCCATTGACTTTGCTTGACGGAAGGTCGCAAAAGGGGATCACATAAACTTGGGACATAGCGACAGTCATAAATATGAACCAGTTGCCAAGTGTCTAAATTTTTGATCACCTGGTCATGGGGATACTGCAAAGATTTTAACTGTGGAAAATGGCCACACCACTTTTTTCAGTGCCATTGTAATGTTGAACCATCACTAAATCATCATCTTCTTTATTATTATTATTTTAAAGACCCTATAATCACCTGTGGGGTGGAGGCAACCGAACGGAGCTGAGTTTTTACTGGCCAGATGCCCTTCCTGTCACCAATGCGGAGTTTTGTTCAGCAGATAAATTCTCATTGTGCCCAGAGAGAGAAATATCTGCCTCTGCTTAGGATCGAAATCACAGCCTCCTGATTGTGAAGCGAGAGCTCCATCTCTAGGCCACCACATCACTCTTTGAACCATCACTAAATGAACTGTTGTTATTTGAGGACTACCTGTATTAGTGCTTCATTTCTCCTTATTTTGGAACAACCTTGATTTTTTTCCCTCCCCTTCTCTAGGCTCTGGGCTCGCAGGGGAATCTGTCCGCAGAGGTGGAGGCTCAGACCCGCAAAAAACTGCAAGCTATGCATGGAGGGCAGGCTCGGGGCAAGGACCAGGTCTTGCGTCACCTTCTCACTACTATATGGAATGTACAGCCCCTAATTCACCCCAATTACCGCCTGGCTGTCTAAAAGGCCTAGTACCCCTGCCTGCAGTTGTCTGATGGACTATTGATGTACTCCTTATTCTCCATACAATACACTTTAGATGCCCAAATAGAAGTTCTCTATTTCCACCTATAACTTCACTGAATCAAACAGGTCTAACATCCTGTGCTCCCTGAGGCTTCTCATTCATCCTTTCTCCTTCTTTTATTGTCTCTTGAATCAAGGCTGTGAATTGCATTTGATAGTCTAAGTCAGGAGTGGGCAAATGTGGCCCTTTTACAACCTGTGGACTTCAACTCCCAGAATTCTTGAGACAGCCAAGCTATCTCAGGAATTCTGGGAGTTGAAGTCCACAGGTTGCCCACCCCTGGTCTAAGTAATCCATTATGCCCAAAAGATGCAAAAGCAAGCAATCAACTTTCTATTCATTACTGGACACTGACTGCACACTACATACAAACACACACACCGGTTTTCAAAGTAGATCTATAGATTATTCTCTATTCCCCAGGATTACAGGTAGTCCTCAATTTACAACCATAATCGAGCCTGCAATTATGGTTATAACTGTGACGGGTCATTAAGCAAGTCATTATGTGACCGCTTCTGATTTTATGATATATATTTTTTGCAGTAGTCATTAAGCAAATGCCATGGTCATAAAGTAAACCCACTGTTTGCTATCTCTGTTGTTTTCTGGAAGTAAACTGGAAGTAAATGCTAGTTTCCAACAAAAAAAAACATCGTAACTCGTGCTTACACATCCACAAGCACACTGCACTGAGCTATAAGCAAGCCAATTGGGAAGCATCCAAAATGCGATCATATGGCCACAGGTGTGTGCATGCGAACTTTGAATCCAGATTGTCACTTTTTCAGGCTTCGTCAGAATTTTGAACAGTCGTTAAGCATCTGGATGTAAGTCGAGGACTACCTGTAGTTGTTTTGGGTTTTTTGGCTTAGTTTTCATTTTTAAAGGGGCTGTAAAATCCAAAGAGCTGATCCCTCCAAAACAGATCCACTTTCTTTCACAACCCAGTGCTGGATATTTCCTTCCGTATTACACAACCGTGTGGCAGGAAAAAACATGTCTGGAAATGTGAAGGTTGCAAGGTTACCCTTGTGTTACTTGCTACATGTATTTGTGTGCTGAGACTGAGAGGTTCTATTTATGCTTCATTGTACCCTTCATTGTACATTGTGCTTCATTAATTTGTTTCCTTCCTATGATCTCGACAATCTTGTTTATCCGTAACTGAACAGTTCAATAAAAACGGCAGGCAGTTAAACAAGGAGGAAAAAAATGTAGTGTTTTGTTTTTCTTTTGACAGTTCTGCAGCAGGCGGGATCGTGGTACAGGTATAGTCCTCAACTTATGACCACAATGGAGCCCAAAATTTATGTTGTTAAGTGATAAATTTGTTGAGTATTGGCCAATTTTTACGACTTTCTTTGCCACATTTGTTAAGTGAATCACTACAATGGTTAAATTAGGAGCACAATTGTTAAGTGAATCTGATTTTCCCCATGGACTTTGCTCGTCAGACATTCGCAAAAGGGGGGGGGGGTGTCACTTGATCCTGGGACACTGCAAACCATCATAAACATGAGTTGGTTGTCAAGCATCTGGATGCAAATCACGTGACCATGGGGATGTTGCAACGGTCCTAAGTGTGAAAAATGGTCATAAGTCACTTTTTTCAATGCGGCTGTAACTTCAAACGGTCACTAAATGAAAGTCGAGGGCAACCTGCCGTTGTTGGTTTAAAAGCATGTGAACTGGCTGCTCCTTCCAACAGAACAAGATTTCTCTTTCCTAATCTGCCATAATCCAAACATTTTTGCAGTTCAGCTCTCATTGTCCCCTACTAGTGTATGTCATGGAATTGCGCAGCATATATAAAGTCAGAGACGCTGACACAAACATGTGGTTTTATATAAATAAATATGTTTTAAACCGCTTAGAGAGGACCATAAAGCACTGTGAAGCGGTATATATTGTAAATCTAAGTGCTATTGCTATTTTAAATCAATGTTTACAGCAGACATGATAGTCGGGATCACAGAGCATACAGGGCACTCCGAAGAAAAAGGCGGGAAAATCGGGAAACTCCCCCTCCACCCACAGCAACCAATCACAGTGCAGATTGCCTCAGGCAGGAGCCAGCACTTTCCAACCAATCAAACACAACTGTGTGTTTGGCTCACTGCACAACCCACCCATCCCGCTCCAGCTATTAAATTTAAATATCTTAACAATATTAGACTATTCTCTGGGTGATGCAATTTGGGTCACCAGATTAGGGAATTCTGGCACAGACATTTTAGGCAATTGAAAAGATTTTAAATACACATAAGCCAAATGCAAAAAGAAAAGAAAAAATGATTAACATAGGCAAGCAGAGGTTGGGAAAAATCAAGAAGTTACAACAAGGCAGGTTTTTCTAATACACCCAATTAGAATCTGTTTTAAAATGATCCAGCCATATATGAATCCTTCAGTTGGAACAAAATACTGGAGAAGGAGAGAAAGGCACCTGGGATGGAAGAATAATAAAATTACAAAGTTGGAAGGGATCTTGGAGGTCTTTTAGTCCAACCTCCTGCTCAAGGAAGAAACGATTCCAGACAAATAGTTGTTCAATCTCTTATTAAAAACATCCAGTGATGGAGCTTCTGGAGACAAGTTGTTCCACTGATTAATTGTTCTCACTGTCAGGAAATTTCTCCTTAGTTCTAGGTTGGTTCTCTCCTTGGTTAGTTTCCACCCATTGCTTCTTGTCCTGCCTTCAGGTGCTTTGGAGAATAAGTTGACCTCCTCCCTTCTTTGTGGCAGCCCCTGAGATATTGAAATACTGCTATCATGTCACCTCTAATCCTTTTTTTAATTAAAGTAGACATACCCAATTCCTGCAAGATATGCATTTTGTGTATTTGCAGCTGAATTGAACTGTGAGCTGAATTCAAGAAGAGTTTGTAGCAGTGGTGAAATCCAATTTTTTTTACTACCGGTTCTGTGAGCGTGGCTTGGTCGGCGCGGCGGGGGGAAGGATACTGCAAAATCTCCATTCCCTCCCCACTCCAGGGGAAGGATACTGCAAACTCCCCATTCCCTCCCCACTCCTGGGGGAAGAATATTGCAAAATCCCCATTCCCACCCCACTCTGGGGCCAGCCAGAAGTGGTATTTGCCAGTTCACCGAACAACTCAAAATTTCTGCTACCAGTTCTCCAGAACCTGTCATAACCTGCTGGATTTCACCTCTGGTTTGCAGGCAATATTCGGATTGTGTCTGCAGGCAGAAGGAAGGACATAAAAGAAAACAAAAAGTGGAAAAAATAGATTTTTTTGTGCTAAGAGATGAGATGAAATACACACCTGCAAATTAATGGGAAAAGGTAGATAACAGCTGATTAATTTAAACAAAACTTCCCTCATCTCAGTGCTCTCTGGTAGGGAGTCATGAAAATGAACTTGATGAACCTGTTCAGAAATCATTAGAAAAACACAATTTAGAGAAACGTGCCTTGAGCCCAGGAGAAGAAAAAAATATTAGGTTGGCTCCTTCCTGATTCTTTGGATTATAAAGAGGGGAATAAATATGCAATTGGGCATGCAAGATTTTGTTATTATAGCCCAGAGGAATGCTGATAAATGTTTTAAAACCGGCTCTGCCAACTCCAGTGCCGCCACGCCGCTAGCTAATGGAACAGCCTATTGGCCTATTAAGGATTGTCATTCAGCTCTGATTTCTTCCAGCTTGCAAAATTCCCAAAATCGTGACCATCTGCTCTTGCAAGCCTGTACAGGCCAGCTACAGCATACAATTACTATAGTCTAACTTAACAAAGTATAGGTCTAGTATTCGTCTGTGTTGGTTTCCTATCCTGATTCTTGAAGGGCTGCCAGCTCTCTGGATGTCAAGGACTACACCTCTTATCATTTGCAGCTAGCACGCCCACTGTTTTTATGACCACATCTCAATACAAGTTATCATGCAAGTCTACATCTAGGAGTCCTTAAGAGTACTACAGCTGCCAAAAAAAGACAATGCAATCCTAGGCTGCATCTACAGAGGGAAAGTATCAAGATCACGTGGAGAGTTAGTACTGCTTTATACTGCACTGGTAAGACCATACTTGGAATACTGGCTGCGTCCAGTATGATTAGAGGACTGGAGGACAAAACATATCATGAACAATTGCAGAAACTGGGGATGTCTAGTCTATTGTTCTTCTAACAAAGAAAAGGACCAAGGGTGATTTGATAATGGTCTTGCAATACTTGAGGGGCTGCCACAGATAGGAGGGGGTTGACCTATTCTCCAAATCACCTGAGGGCAGGACAAGAAGTAACATTTGGAAACTTAACAATGAGAGATCCAACTTAGAACTAGAACTGTTACATCTATTCACAGCATACTATAAACAATTTATAAAAGACACATTGGAAGGCTACCGCACAGATTATAGGATGTGGAACATGGGGCTAAATCTCTTCTGCTTGAAGTCATAGATTCGTGATGAGAAGAGGCTTTGGAGTCCACTTGGCATTTTTTGTCTGCTCAAACTATTATTGAGTTCTCTAGAGGCTCAACCTATCTTTCATGAACTCTTTCTACCAGACTCATGATCCCTGATCTACCTTCATCCTTGTAAATTTGGCAGAAAAAACTATGAATTTAGCGCAAAGAAATAACATATTCTGGTGAGAGAGGTTTCCTGACAATGGGCTCTAGCATGAGTCTGAAAGTTTAGAAGATTAAACCTCTGATGTCGGTGACTGACCCAGATTGGATCCTGCAACATTATATATGTATAATATATATTTGGACGTATCATTCAAGAGAGGAATAACTGATTCTAATTGGATGATGTCTACGGTATAACATTTAACATTGGACTAGCACTAATAAATTAAGGAACTACATTTTGCTTCTGCCCAAAGCAGTATAAGACCTAAAGAAAATATATTCCAGCTTCCAGATAAGTTGTCAAAAGACCACATAAAGAAGATAATTTAATTTTTAATCAAGACAGTGCTTTTGATGTTTACCTGAGAAGGATCTGTTTTAGCTATTAACGACTAAAAGGAGTTGAGAAGTGGCAATGATATGGAGCAGTGGTGAAATCCAAATTTTTTTATTACCAGTTCTGTGGGCATGGCTTAGTGGGTGTGGCTTGATGGGCACGGCAGGGGAAGGATACTGCAAAATCCCCATTCCCACCCCAATCCTGGGGGAAGGATATTGCAAAATCTCCATTCCCACCCCACTCTGGGGCCACCCAGAGGTGCTATTTGCCAGTTCTCCAAACTACTCAAAATTTCCGCTACCGGTTCTCCAGAACCTGTCAGAACCTGCTGGATTTCACCCCTGATATGGAGACATTTGAACTTTGGTGTTGGGGAAGACTCTTCAGAATACCATGGACAGCCAAGAAGATGGTTCACAAAATAAAATAACTCAGAGTTCTGCCTTGAGGCACAAATGACCAGGTTTAAATTACCCTACTTGGAACATATTATACAAATACCAGCTCTCTGATGTCACAGAAGTAATTTTCAAACATTTGTTTTGTAGCTCAGTAGCTATCCCTGTTAACAATGATAAAAAAATTACCAGTATGGGAACATGTCCAAAGTAGGGATAATTTGAGCCTGATTATTTGAGTCTCGAGGAAGATTGGATTAATAACTGTACGATTTATTGTTTGGGGCAGAGGTTCAGCATCATGCCACAGATTGCTGCACCTCAAAGTCACAGCCAGTGAGAATGGAAATAAAATGCCAATAGGAACTGTTAGAAATCCCAAGGGTGCTTTTTCAAAAGGCAACCAGACACTTCTTTGTTTTTTTCCTTGAAGATATTTTGCTTCTCATCCAAGAAGCTTCTTCAGTTCTGAAGGGGAGGAAACTGAAGAAGCTTCCTGGATGAGAAGTGAAACGTCTTCAAGGAAAAAACAAAGAAAAGTCCAGTTGCCTTTTGAAAAAGCACATTTGAGACAGCCACAACCTGGATGACTAAGAATCCAGGAACAGACAAGAATAGACAATTATTAGAAATCTTTATATTTTGCTTTAGCTCCCAAGCTCTTGTATACCTTGAATGGGCTGCTATTGGAAGTACAAAAGCATGAAGTAATGCTAGAATAAACAATCCATGAGAGGATGGGGCCAAAGATTTTAGGTGGAAAATTCTCAGCAAGAAATTTGAGCATCTTTATTCCGATTGACTGGGCAGCCACTTGTCAGAAATGGTATAGGGTCATCTGCTTGAGCAGGGGGTTGGACTAGATGACCTACAAGATCTCTTCCAATTCTGTTTTTTTTTTTTTTATTGTAAGATTAGGGTAGAAATTTAACTGGTGCCTTCTGCAGAATCACCCCCGTTGAGTTATTGGCCTTAATACTGCTGCACAAGAGTTACGTAATTCCTTTC